CATTATTTGTAAAGAACTCTCTTGCGTCTTGTAGCTGATATTATGTGATCATTTTAGATTATAAGTAATAATTAATTAGCGCATTATTTGCATAAATGTCTAAATCATATCTACTTCGTATCCAGATTTATTTCGCGTCTCGTTGATAGAGTCGTAATCCTACATGCGATCAGAAAATTCATGACAAATTTTTATACATATACTTCGAATTATGTATCTTTTCGTCATTAGTGATATATGCATTTTATAATAAACTCGAGGAGTACAAAATTGTAAAAATATGAAGTGCTTTTCAGCAGTGTCAATATACAAGGACACACGGCAGCGATACTTCCTGAACTCAATAATTAAAACACCGATTTAATACTCATTGCAGTAATTTCGTAGCTTCATTATTGTAAGATCGTTGCCGTATTGTATATATATACATATACATGTATGAATTATATTAAAATTTCGTGTATAAGAAGTTTTACAAAGCATGCATTATTTAAGATGTATATATTGTAAGGTATATTATTATGTACACACACAGAGTAGAATATAAACTATTATCCAAAGAATTAAAAAAAAAAATTTACATTTCTTTCTTAATTTTTTAAATTTAATTAATTTTAATTTTAAAATTTTAAATATGCAAATTAATTCCAGTGTTTTCGTTTCACTTCAAGAAAGATGAAGACATGTAAATTAATAAAAAGATCGATAAATTGATTAATACAAAGGAGAGACGGTAAGATGATTAAGTAATGAGACACATGGCATTTGTATAAAATACCGATAGTTTATTTTCAATCTTGCGTTGCCGCGAGGACGCGTAAGATATGTACACAGACGTCGGATTACTTTACGTAGTACAATTCTCATCTATGCATTAAAAGAAGTAATTTACGTGCTAGCTTTAAAAATAACGCATTATAAATGTTCATTTTCCTCTGACTCGGTAAAATCTACGGTAATGATTGGATACATCAGACATTTGATGAATATCTCGGCGAAGTGTGATTTGAGGTATATCAGTGGTATTCTATTGCGCACTATTTAAAAAAAAACAAGTAAGAGACAAAAAAAATAGTTGACCGGTCTTAATAGACCAGTGAAAACTTTCGTGAAAAATATACGTGACATATACACGTCTCATCGATTGTGTATATGTGTGTGTACATATACTTAACATAAAATGAATTGATAATCGGAGTACAGTTTCCGTTTATGCAGATCGCACGTAGGGAGATTATATTTTCCTTATTTAAGAGGCTCGATTTCAAATTTTCCGACGAAATTCTCTCGTCCTTATAAAAAAAAAAAAAAAAAGAAAACTTAGTTCGCTGATTTACTATCGCTCCTATTTACATCGAGCTCCAAGCTTAATTATTTCTCCTTTTTTTTCCTTCTAATGTTCTTTTCTTGTCGATCTTGATTCTCCAAACTCATAACTGATTCTTGTTAATTTTCCTCAAGATATTTCAAACAAAATTATTTTAAACGATATTTTGTTAAGTTAATATCTAGTTTTCCCGAATTGTTGAATATCAAAGAATCTTTTCTGAAGTTGATGAAAAGTTAATGAAATAAAATGATTTGAATTACTTACAATGACTTCTTATAGATCGATATTTTCTCTTCAACTATCGCTTCGCTATATACATTTCGCTGCTTAAATGCTAAACACGCGTCCCACAATCTCTCATTCGTTTTCAAACAACCTGTCTCTCCTTAGGAACCTGCGACGTTACGCGGGATTACATCTCAACTCAACGCGCAATAATAAATCATCGCACACACGGTGAGAGAATATTTTGTTTCTTTAAAAAAAAAAAAAAAGAAAAAAAAAGAAAGAAAAAACGCTCTTTGAATTATATTATATTAATTATATATATGTACATACGCGACCCCACAAGTGAATACAATCGCGTTCCTCCGTTGTTTCTTTAAATATAAAAATAGGGCGCAATTAATAATTCTCAAATACTTATTCCGCGATACTTAATAAAGGATTCTTTGATTTGAGAAAAGAAAATATTTAATTTTTTTGTAAAAATTTTATATACTAACGTAATTTTATCCGCTCTCTTTCTCCGTATGATTAAATAATTATATGTTTAAAAAAAATTCTTATTGGAAACAATTTCTCGTTGCTTCTTCATCCTTTCTTTGCTCATCGTATATATTCGATTATCCTTCTTTAATTCAAAGTTTTAAACATACATTTCGCGACGGAGGCGGATCTCTTCTTGTCGAATCGATTAATTCATGTTCGCTAATGACGATACATCTCCCACGATTGCAAAGATAAGAAAAAAAACGAAGAAAACAAAATGAAAGAGATCTCACGCAGATCTCCCGCGTAATATCTTTGCGTATTATTCGACTCCGATTACATTGTACTAAGATTTGGTTAATTGACATTTCTTGTTACGTACTAACTAGTTTCCACTTTGTGGCACATTCGGGATTCTGTCGAATCCCCCAGTCCCGACTCGACATTCGCGCATAAACTCGAGCGATTCGCATAAGGATCTGCTTCTCTGCTCGAGCTGACTCGCGCGTGCTTAAATGATCCTTGAATATAATCACACAAGAGTTCGTGCACAGTGGTGCATTCCTTGTGCGATTCATTCTTCCGATATATATACATTTATTCTTCGCGTCTTCGCTCGAATCAACTCGCGACACGAGAGTTCTCGGAGCCTCCAGGACGCCGATTTTGATTTGACACATTTGATTCTATCCACGCGAATTCGTGGTGATTTTGAAAGTCGATCAACGACGGCCTTCGTTATTCATAAAACTTGTCGCGAGACGACAAAGCTCCCCGTTCGAGACCGGTTTTTATTTTGAGACTCTCATTAAGTACTAGCAATTCCATTATTTTTTGGATATCAGTATTCCTTCTCGCACACACGATGAATGTTCACTTCGCCACGTTACTTCGGGTATTGTCTAGAATCACAGAAAGTATCGCCGTTGACACGATCAGGATCAATAATCTCCCAGGTAGCAAGTGTATGTCATTTTTAATGACTTCAATTTGCTACTCGTACTATATTTTGGGATGATCTATATCTTATGCAACAATCCCGCATGAAATATGTTTGAGAGTTAAACATGAATTCATCCGAGCGAGATATCTTTTTTACAGCAGCACTTAAAAGATACGAAAATATTCTTCTAGACAATACATTACTTGACGTAGCGAAGAAACCATCAGATTTCGATTTCCTTTCATTGTGATTTCGTACAAAATACTTTCGATACACGATCATCAAGTCGTGTCTTCTCGTTTCTCGATACATCGTATTCAATATTTTGCATTCATTGTCGCTTTCTTTTTTCCCTTAAATTTACTACGCGTTACCTTATTTAATCGTACTCTCTACCTATCTACCTACACGTATATACAGTCGTCTATGTGAACGTCCTTGATATAATCTATATATCGTGAATTATTATATATCGACGACATTCGAAAGGAGGGAGAAGTCAATTTTTCTTTTCTTTTTTGGTTTTTCGTTCGATTTTTCTTCTCCCAACGCCTTCTTTCTCTTTTGCTTGCCTTCACTATCTCTCTCTCTCTTTCTTTCTCTTTCTCTCTCTCTCGTCCACTCGTTTTCGTACACACGAAGCTGTAGTAAAAGCTGTACACGCATACATTTCATTCTTTTCACGCTCGCATTACAATATTACGTACACGCGGGAAGGGGTTGACACAACCCTTCTTAGGAACCGAGCGGGATAAGCGAACATAAGGCGGATCGCGCCATAATCTTTCGATATATATAAAGACTTGCGTCGCTCATCATTTGGATAAACCTTAGTGAAACTTTACAAAATTAGAAATAATTTGGATCATTTTATCGCATGATAAAAAAAATTGCAAGAGACAACACACTATTTCGCATTGTAGATCACAGACACGGTTCGGTTTATTAGTATCTTTACGAAGAAACGAATACCTTTGCGTCTTAAAAATATCTGCATGTATTCATTCTTGAAATATTCTATATAATGTACATGGTTATTCGAAATTATTCTTTCCAATTTCAAACTATTATTTTTCAAGTTTATAATTACTTTTTAATTGATACATTACTAATTGTTACATATTTATAAACTTAAAAAATATAATCATTTGAAATCGACCGAATCGTTTTGAATCTTGTGTTTAGGCATCTTTAGAAATTAAAAGAAATAAAGCAATCTTGGCTATTTTGATTGTCAAGCAATTTTTTCTACATTCCATTTAAGTAAATCACATATTAATCAAATTCTTAAATTATTTCATTATTGTGTGTAAACGTTCTCTAATTTAATATTGTAAGCAACACGGTCTAATATCTCTTTTCTACACCGATTGTTATCTCTCACTTTTTCGTTTTTATCATGCATTTAATTTGTGACGACCCTTGGTACTATCTTCTTTATCTCTCTTTCATCAGATTACATCTATATCTATGTATATATATAGATATACTTTTTTCGATATAATATATATATATATATTCATTTATTCGTACGCTTATTATATATGTACAAAATGCTAAATGACTCTGGATATGACTAAGTGAAATTTTTTTTCGTTTTAATGCTTACGCAGACAAATACCCTCTTATTTACGTTGTCGTATTTTTCGTTAGTTCTCGGTTTTTCGGTAATTTCTTATCTCATCTAAAAATTATATATATATATTTATGTATAAACATATATACATGTACATATATACACGTATACATACATATACATATGTGTGTGTATATATATATATATATCTTAGTTATAATATATATACATTCCTATTATAAAATTACAAATGCGTAAAGCGTATTGCATTGCCTTCCCCCAAACGCCTTTCTGATTTCTGTATTATTTTTTTCATCTTTCACGGGCAACACACGTCGGAACAGTGTAAAGACACAAATAAATCGCCCGGTGATTCTCAGCCCCCTCAAATAATTTTTGCATCATCTCGAGCATTACAATTTTCAATCGTTCGTCTTTGTTAATTTTTATTTGCTTTTCAGTACTTTGATTTTTACTTTTTCAATTTAAAATCAATAAACTAACCATGTTCCCTGTCACAGTTTGCAAATCTTGAAGCGATTTAAAAAAGAAAATAAACTTTTAAAGTACTATTAAAATTTATCATCGACGATGATGAACGTATTATATAAATGTATCATAATTGAATAATTGATATATTAGTTTGGACTACTGTTTGGACTATGCTTGTGGGGGAAAAAAAAGTTCTTTAATCCATCTAGGACATGTACGTACACAACTGCACACACCTTCGCAAAATATGTATAAATTCAAGAACATAAAAAATTCTCTCTCGCATAAGTACGTTCCGTCAATCACATATCGAAATAAACTTCATATTTATTCAAAATGCATCCCCTACTCGCTTAAAATGCGTCCTATCTGTTTTTGGTTTATATAAACGATAATAATTCGTGTCGCAGTTTCCATTCAACCAAACGCGCGATTAGCGAGCGATCAGGTTCGATCTCGAGATTCTTCGGGAGAAGTTTTTCTTTTCAAAGGACAATCAGCTACCTCGTCACGCTTCTCTTCCGGCGTGTCCTGTTGCTCTTCTGGAATCATCTTTCGTTTCTTCGCCGGCTGTCCATCATCATCGTTGTCGTCCTCTTCGCTGGAGGGCAACTTCTCCTCTTCGGCTGTGAGACTCACCGGTGTGTCGGCTCCTACGGAGTGTCCCCCTGCTGCGGTTTTCAAAAATGTACGTCCCTGACATCGGTCGGCGTGCCCGCTTTCTCGTGCTCCAATATCTTCTCCTGACTCGTATTGTTTTGGTCCCCCAGCGGCCTCTGCGGCGCGCTTGTGACACCGGTGCTCATTGTCTGGTGTCCGCTTCCGCTTCCGGAGCTCTCGGTGCTCGCGTGGGCGGCCTGTGCGATCATCTCCTCGATCTGCTGTAGGCAGCCATGCAGATAATCCTGCAAGAAATAATAATTTGTCAAATAATAATATCGTGCTTATGTATGAAAAAGAATTTTTCTTATTTATTTGACCGTCAGATAGATGAATCAAGTTAAAACTCTCGAACTTGACTAATCATCCAAGACTAATATATTTCGTAGGCTACAGCTGTAATCTGAAGTCATGAATGAAAATCCACAGGGAGACCGGATGCCGTCTTGAGGACGATATCATCAGATAGATGAATCAAGTTAAAACTGTCGAACTTGACTAATCATCAAAGACTAATATATTTCGTAGGCTACAGCTGTAATCTGAAGTCATGAATGAAAATCCACAGGGAGACCGGATGCCGTCTTGAGGACGATATCTTCCTGTTCTGGAGCCCAAATACACACAGACGAGAGAGCGGACCGCTTAAAAATATTGCGCTGTACGGGTCACGGACCCCATGCCGCGCCATTCATTCGCGCGGTTTATTTGCACTAGGAGATAGATGGAGAAAGAAAGGAAAGAAGAGAGAAAGTGAGCGAAGCGAGGAGACGAAACGGCGACTGCTCGGCTCGGCTCGTCGTCATCATTCGATGTGCATACGGGGCCCGCACCAGCAGCAACAGACCCGAGTTCCTTTTTTTTCCTTCTAACATGTGCCCGGCACCTGCTCTCTGCCGTCTCCTTCCCGTCGTGCTTTTTGCGAACCTGGCGAGTCTGTCTTTCCACTTGCGAAGGGCAAAAGTTCTATCCTTTCTTGCCGATTTCGTGTCTCCCCACCGGAACATTGGCGGCGCATCATCGTCACCTCTGGATGATCTTTCGGGCGGCCGCGAGGAATTTTTTTGACATTTTAAAGGTCTTTTTTAATTGTCTAATTATGAAGAGATGATAGAATGGAAATGATACCTCTGGATGGATGGCGGGACTTTTTTTCGTGATACGTGATACGTACGATACTAACCTGTTCAATGGCCGTGATGCGGGTGAGCTCGTCCAGGAGTCCGGCTAGTCCGTAGCCGCTCTTCCCGGTCCAGTCCAGTCCGTGTAACGCCGCCGCGACGCTCGCCGCCGCTATCATGCTCGGCGTGTACATGGAGAACTTGTATTCTGCACACAAATATAAAGATTAATGTATAAAATATAAAGATAAATGAAGAATTCAATATAAAATAAAATATGAAATATGACGTGCATTATACTTTTCATGTCACGAATTTATATATGAACTTTATTACAAATTCATATCACGTTAAATCCCGTTTATATATTGTATACTATCGGGCATCTTAATAGAGGATTTTAATACAAGAAAATTATCAGGCAAAAGTACAAAGTCAAATTGCGGAAGAATGTTAGAAGTGCATTATATTAACCTTCCGTCTCAATTATTATTTTTTTTTTATTAACGTCAGCAAGCGAAGTCTTTTAAGAGTTTCTTCGTATTATTTTTATATTCTAGACTTTCAAAAAATCCAAAAAATTCTGAATTATATATTTGTTAATATCTCTATTATAATATCCAATAGCTTTTAAAACCAAATATTAAATCCAATTGTTTATACAGAGCGAAATTTGAACAGCAATTTGGAAATTTGCTTGTGCCTTAAAAGACCCAGATTGCTGACGGGTTATTATAATTGCTAATAATTTATATGTGCAATAGAGTTTTTTTAAATTATATTTAAACAATTAATAAGAGAGGAAGCAATATTGAGTTTCCTGTCGATCATTCATCTATTTATGATTCACGCGCGATACAGTTTCCTTAAGGATAATCTGTTCTCGGGTTTATCTTATTTTACGGATATCCGTTTCATTATTTATCAGGTTACACGTTGAGGATTAGTAAACAATCCTCCGACAAAGGATCTAATCTTTTTATAAATATTTCTAAAATACAAGTCGAAATCGCAACAGATTTACGAGAGGTTGGAATGGGACGGAAGCTGAGCATGTGGTGCTCCTTTATCCTGCTAAAATGTCACTCCTGCCGTTTCCTTAAAAGATTCTTCTAACGTTACAATCATAAACCAGAGCAGTCTCTGTTCTCGAACGGTCCAGGATGTGGACATAAATCTGCTCGCTCGAATCACATCTCGGTCATTGTTTTTCAATATGGTACCATGATTTTTCATCTGGTGTGTGTCATAAAAAATCATTGCCTTTTTTTTCCTACTATTTGTAAAGTCAGAGCGAGATGAGAATTATACCATCTATTTCAGTGTTTCTCAGACCGGAATATTTCAAAGATTTGCATATTTAAATCACAGATAAAATCAGAGATTAAAATATGATGTTAATTAATTAACATAATAAATTTTACGTAATTAAATTAAGATTCAAAGTTGTTTGAAAATATTTCGAAAATTTTAACTCTAATCTAACAATACCGTATAATTTTTAAATCGTTAAGTTTAACTTGGTAAATCATATGTATTAATTATTTATATAAAGTTTCATAAATTTTTACGGATTATCTATTAATTTAATACAATAAAATAATTTTTTTATAATTCAAAGAAAAGTTTGAGTAACACCGAGCTAAAAGACACATTGTTTTCCGCAAGCTCAGTGATTATAATTAGCAAAACTTTATCCTGTCACTGTTTCGAAACGGTATTCCAAGTGTGAGTTTTTAATTTCACAACCGAGTCCCTACAGAATAGTAGCTGCATGAAACACCAAGAGAGAAATTTGTCGACAAGTTGTTGAAAGCGCACAACACACGAAGAAAGAAGTTCAATGGTAATAATACATTCAATGTATAACGCGTGGAAAAAAATTGTACACCGGACACGCGATAAGCTCTACACTGAGCAAACTTATTATAAAAAAGTGCATTAATATAAAATACTTTAATAAAAATGCAAAAGGCGCGTCGCGTTACGCTTCGAAAGCCATCGGCTGGCGATCATCGGCGGCTAAATCGCTCGGAGAGAAAAAGAGAGAGAGAGTCCCTCGGTTATTAACCGGCGAAAATTAAGATCGTGCACAGCGTGTAGATACGTAAAACCAGTTTAAGGGAGAGAATAGACGGCGGGTAGATAGCCGTGGAATGTGAACATCAGACGAAATTATCGCGTGTTTGTGCATCAGAGGTACTTGCGCGTACCGAAATTCAATCCTGCCTGAGAATTTTTAGCTCGTGTGCATATAATCAAAGCTGCATCAGTTCATCTCACTTCCCGTCTGCTCTAGAATCTCTCTCTCTCTCTCTCTCTCTCTCTCTCTCTCTCTCTCACGTAAACAAAAATAATTATAATAGAAAAATCAAGAGGAATCCTAAATTCTAGTCCTAGGCTTGAAGATACACGTAGATGCGGTTCCAGGTTTTATAAAATCGCGTAATTCGGATTAAATAAGTATGAAAAGAGCTGGTAAGAGCCATGCATAGATATATTAGGTCTAATAAAATTATTCTTAAATATGAACCTAGTTCTCCCCAGTTCTTTTCATACTTGAATTTGTCCCGTCATTTGTCAGAGTTTTTTTAATTTATCGATATTAATATGCAATCTAGTTCATTTCCGACTATTTACTCTAGCTGTTGATTTGGCGGAAAATTCGAGACGATCGATTGATCGAATCGCGTTTTCCTCTACTCTCGCCTTGATTCCGAAAAAAAACGCGACATTGCCTAGTTTGGTCCGTGAGAAACGATCCGCGATCTTCGTTCTGTCTTGTGTTTTCCTCTCTTTCTCTCTGTTGGGACCGTCGAGACTGGTCCAACACAAGTATCAGGACCAATGACGAAGGACGAAGGTCCTCTCCGTTCTTTTTGCCATCGCGGTTGTAATAACAACCGACCAGACCGATGCTGCAGACTTCGGGACGAAAAATCGAGAGAGGAAAGAATGAAGAAGAGTAATCGCATTCGTAGGAGGAAAAGAAAGGCAAGAGAGACACGCAAGACGTGTCTGCGGCCGCGGAGACACATATCTAGGCATTTAAACTCGTTCTCTCGCGATCCTTTTTAGCCTCGCGCTATCTTAGTCTGCCTATCTGCTCGCGTACTTCCCCAGTTGATTTTCTCTGTTTTCGTGACGTGTCTGAGTCACATCTCGAAGGATCTACTTATGATAATTTTTGAAAAATACATCTCTTTTTATATAACCAGGAGACTATTTCATTATCTTACTGCTACATTATCTAGATAGATCAGTAATAACTTTTATTTTTTTTTAATACTTTTGAGGGTAAATGAAATAATTAGTTTATTTTTGAAAAAAATATTAATTCAACAAACTCATTTTCGTTCATGAGAAGAATAATTATATAGATTGTTAGATTAAAAGTTGTAGATTTATTGAAAATAGGGTTAAGTTTACTTTCTACTTTTATAAATTTATAAATATTGTTTGCAAGTTTTTTTAAAGTTAATTTGTGCTTTAATTAATTCAGCAACACACAAAGCTAATTCGCAAAGATTGTGATTGCAAGGAGACAACGTTGTGGAAAATGCAAAGAAATTCCACGACGGATTCCAAAGAAACCAAAGTCCACCTAACGTGACCGGGCATTTAAACGGACATTTAAAGCCTTCTTAAGCGACGCAGAAAATCGTGTCTAGAAAAATTGAGACACCAAAATATTCTCAACATTCGCTTGAACGTGGCTTTTAAATTTTGAAGAAACTATATATTAAAATGGATATCTTTTTGCGCAAAAATTAGTACTTATTCGTGACATTTTAGTATCTATTTTGTTATTGTATCACTACTATTATATCTTCTGTTATTTAACGCAGACGAATATTGTAAAAGCAGATCCTAATAATAACATAAAAATAATTAACAAAAATAATGTGTAAAACAATATACCACTTCATTTTTATGTGATGTAGGACAGGATTTTTCTATTCTCTGTCGAAATGCGTTAATGAGCGCGAATGATAATGGAAAATATGTAATACCGTGCATAATAAACGGATATTATTACTTCTAAAAAATTGCGTTTCAAGCTGGTCATGTTACCGATGACCTCGTCTATATGTATATGCGTGACCTACTTCAAAAAAAAGCAAAGAATAGAGACGATTCGTACTGACAATTGCTTGACGGTTTCCGCCGTGGAACATTTCACGATGCAGTAGCAGTATATTATTCATTAATGCATACGTTAACTATGCACGTCCTAGGTTGTTTACCGCATATACATATATGTGCGTATCATGATTATGACACATGCAAAGTGTGAAGAAGTGCATTTCAAATGACGCTCGTCGACCCATTTAGAAATGTTTATGCGCCTCTATATTCAGAAGACCGAAGGTTACTCGGAGTTCCTCGGATTCGATAAAAAAAAGTCATGATACGAATACACCTCTTTTCGTCACACTGAGATACTTGTTAACGATAACATGACGAGTAGATAACAAAGAGAAGGTGCGTCGGATTTTAATAATTAATTCCTTCGCGATAGCTCGTCTAATAATACTAATCTTTATTAATTCCTAGATTGTTCGCGTTAATTAATGAATTCTTACCTCGGGCGCTGAGAGCGATAAAGGTCTGTGCGTGCTTTCGGACCATCACGGTGTCCCAAGTGCGTGGCATCGGCAATCTGTTGAGGATGTGCATCAAAAAGTCGCCGGGTGTCACCGCGGACAGCTCCCATTTTAGCTTAGAGACGACCAGCTGTTCCCACCTCTGCAACAAATCGGAACAGATGCTCGATTAACTTCGCGATAGACTCGTTGTATTCTCACTCTAAGGGTTACGGAAAGAAGAAGGTGACATTCACCAGTTGCATTCGTAACAATTCTGGTTAGCATAGAAGAAAAAAGTGACGGTAAATCATTAAAAAATAGAACCAATACTCGGTTAATATTTTTGACAGCTATCAGCTGATTTCTGTCAAAAAATATTAATCGAGTTTAAACAAACTTCATATTTTTTAAAAATATTCTTTAGATCTTTTATTTCCATTTAAAAAAAGAGAACAATCTCGTAGATTAATGAGAAACAATTCCCTTTAAAAACGCGGAAATACGTATCTTTAATTAAACGCAGGTGGCGACGGCGAATCGCGGCGGTCGAAAATCGCGCAGCCTTGATCTCTCTTCGTTCCAAATGTTGAACACGAGAGAGAAAAAGACAAGAGAGTGGGAGGGAAAGAGAGAAGTTTGCCCTTTCTCCGACGACGAGGTTACTACGTCCGTTCTCTGGAGTACGTCGTAGTATACCCCCGTTCTCTTTCGACCGTGAAATTACACGGCGGGAGTTACGCGCGACGAGTACTACGTGTCCTTCGTCTTGATTAAAAGTCCATTGAATTCGACGAGGCTTCCCATCGCTCAGCTGTGACGAAACCGGGCAACGTGGTTCCGTTCCAAGCGTGAAAGCAGAATCTTGAACGATTAATAATACACGCGCGCGCACACAAACTTATATATACTACTATAATGTATATCAAAGAGAATAATTAAATAGCTATAAATGTATAGATATACATCACATGGTTATTAATTCAGGCATTTTTATGCAATTCTCTGTGAAAAAATATTTATTTGATGTACAGAAATCTTTTCCAAGATAAATAGTTATTTGTTTCAAGTAAATGATTTATAAAGCAGTATTGAAATAAATATTTATTAATTTAATAATTTGTTTCAATGTATTTATTTAACATTATTTACTAGAACAACATATAAGTGTGCGCCATTCTTCGATTTTATATTGAAGAATATTTTTTAAAAAATATGAAGTTTGTTTAAACTCAATTAATTTTTTTTGACAGAAATCAGCTGATAGCTGTGAAAAATATTAACCGAGTATTTAAAGTATTATAAGACTCGTGCCTTTTTTAAAAAAGAGATTGGTTCTCGACATCGTATTTATTTTTCTAAATTTTGTTATATTTTATATAATATGCATTACGTGTAATTACTGGATAAGTTATTTCTATATAGAATTTATACTGCAAACGGAAATTGCTAAATGTCTAATTTTAAAAAATATGTACAGTGTTAAGAATATCAGTCATGGTACGTAGCATTTGAAACCATACAATGAATATTTCATGTAATTTTTCGTTTAAGTCATCTTAGATAATCTGTAATTTACGATAGAGAATTCAGGATAGAATTTTAAATATAAATATAAATTTTATATGTGCCGTATTTTTTTAATATTATCCATATATATTATATCTTAATATGTATCTTATATACACGTGTAATTCCTCAAATTTTTCCATATCTTGCACACAGAATTATAGATAGAATACTTGCACATTATTTTCTTAAAAAATCAATCATTTCTTAAAGTACTAATAAAAAAAATATCACAGCCATAAAGTGTGACTAATCTCTTCTTCTCCCTCTCTGTCTCGTTTAAAAAATTCTATAATTAAAATAAAATTGACAAAAAATTTATTTTAGAATTATAATTGTATGCGAATGATAATAAAATGTAATAAACTGCAAGATGTTCGTGTTAAAACCGACCCGAGAATGCGATTCGTTCATAGTCATCGCGTACGAGCCAAATTAAAGTCCTCGCCAAATGAAAGAGGATGTGCGCTCGAGGGAAGATAAACCGAGGGAGTTTCTCTCTCTTTCTTTCTGTTCCTCCTCTTCTCCTCCGAGAACTTATTCTCATCCTTGAAGGGGTTCCGCGCTCGAGTGCGTGCGTGCGTGCGTACGCTCGTCTCATTCTCTCTAGTCTCTACACATCTCTCGTACGTCGGAAACCAGTGAATGAAACAAAGGCTCGTACACATCGAAGAGTAGGGAGAGCGAAACAACTGTGTAATGACAGCGCTACATGTTCTACTAGGCAGAATGTATCGTTGTAATGTGTCCTACTTTCATTTACTGTTGTAATTTTTTCCCTTTTTGATCAAACAACTTGATTAACTGATTACTGCTATTGTCTATTATGAAGGTAAATTCCTTTGATACCGTTACTACTCTCTTATATCATTATATCATTACACTTTTATATATTTGCTCTTTTTTTTATTACTTATTTATTTAATAAAAAATTACAATTATAATATAAATCTAAAATATTTTAAGATTATAATTACTGGTAATCATGTAGCTTTTTCCAAATAAAACAAATAATAAAAATAAAAATGAACTCTTACTCTTACTCTAGAACTCGAAGAAGCCGTATGCTCGTAAAATCCAGAATTCATGAGACATGAATTCATGTAAGTATATATTTATTATACGAGATATGTTTTACGGTTTTGATCTGCCTGTGGCACAGGTACTTACATATGTAAAAGAAAAAAAATGCTCTGAGCAACGATGCGCATCCCGTCATCGCTCGTCAGAGTATCCACGATGCACTGACGGCGCGTGTACGCACGATATGCTCGTACGTAACGTAATGACACGTAATGATTCACGAGGGGGACAACGATTCACCTCAGGGATAGCCTGTTGAATCGACGATCGTGACGATAAGCGTGCCTCGCGTCGCGTCACTTTAATGATAAAGTACGTTCACTCTCGTGTTCACCCTCTGTGATGCGTCACCCACCTAATTTCTACATTGCATTAAAGTGCATTACATTACGTTACATTACCCACATTACATTACGCGCATTAAGATTCAAGGATAATATGATTTACAATATCTATTAATTATTAAAAATTACAAAATACACCTCTCTGTTTTCGTTTGTTCAAAATTTAGAGATTATTTATATTAATATTTGTATTTTTAAATCATTTATTAAATTATTATTATTGTGTAACATATAATCTGAGGATTTCTGTTCTGATAGTATCATAGATTGCATCGATATTCGATTAGATTAAAAAGGAAAAAGGGATGTAAGAGTTAAAGGGATAGAGATTTAAAAGGATGTTGAAGCATGCTGAGATGAAAAAGCAGGTTCTAGCTATCCGTTTTCACTTTTCCTATGCACTTTAGGCATCTAAAATACCTCGGGAACCTCGATATACATTTGATTAATGTGTGCGTATTCAATCTGTTGCGCATCTTCAGTTTTATACCGATTAATTAAATTAATTAATTCATCATCGTATCTCTATTTTTAGCTTGCAGTTTTGAACATAATATGTTTGTTTCAAAGTCAACGCTCTCTTTTATAAAAATGTTTACCACCAGATTTCCCTCATTAATTTATCATTCGTTATTTGTTTAGCACATTACGTGTTGCTCTGAAATAAACTGAGGACTCTGAATAATGCAACGGAAGATTAACTTTATTAACGCGTGTGCACACGATTGGCGAAGACACGTAGGAGTGCGGGTATAGGATTCACGCGAAGCACGCAAGCGTGCACGCGTAGTGGAACACGCACAATTTAATCGCGTGTACGCGATAAAGGTCGATTCATATTATATGACGTGTGCACCGGCAACGACGCGGCAGAATATTATGCAGCCCTGGAATAATGAAGCAGCGGGCCATTTATTATACGCGTTCGAGATACAGCGACAGTCGGAATAAAAAAAAAAGTTAATGAGGCCAGAAGCTTCACCGCGGATAATACTCCAAGAGTTGCAAATCACGAGCAATAAATTCATTAGTATATCTCGTTCAAGTCTACGAGCTTCAGCCAATCTTCTGTTTTATTTATCACGTGCACTGCTTGATAGAGAATACATTTTTCATTTCTTATTTATTTTCTATTTTTATTATTTTTATTATCCAGTCGCTCATTTAAGATTCTTACACAAAAAAGATTTGATCCACAATATTTCAGTTATAGTCAATTTTTGAAAATAAATTATTGCCTTTTAAACAAACTATAATTACCTTTTTTTTAATATTAAGATTGCACAAAGAGAATTTATTCTTAAAATCGTGGTAGAACAATATGATATTGAAAGAATTTTATAAGTTTCTCTGATTAATATTTACCACAATAAAAAATATTAATGTCACAATAAGATATAAAATGTTCGATGAATTTTACTATGTACATATTAATATTATTTGTTGTCCCACGATTATCATGATTTTCAAGGTAAATTCTAAGAGAAAATTCTCTCCGTTTAGATTGTTAAAAATAATAAAATACGGTTCATTTATTTATTTCCAGCGATCTAATTATACTTACATAATTAACAGAGCTTATTATACATATAACCCTGAGAATTATATACAGAAAAATCATGTTGTGAAATTCTATATACAGGTGCTGCGATTATACTTTAGAGTTGACAAATTTCCACGGTACTTATGTTTGCATTTCCGGTGCACAATTTATAGTCGTCCTCGATTTCCGCCGCAACTCGCTATCGGCGGCTAGGTCAATAACTATCGAACGATCGACGTGACGAGGGGGAGGAGAATGCACGGTGCATTTATGCGTTTCATTCATGCGCTCGCAAGCGATCGCGTTCGCACGGTTTGAATCGCGCACCTCGGGCCTCCCGTTTTTTCCCGAGCGTGAGAAAGATAATCCCGACCGAACACATGTGACTCTCTCTCTCTCTTTTCTTTTCACTGTTAGGTATACACCGAATATATCGTGACAGCGGAAAAAAAAGATAGTACGTCGCGATAGTGCGGATGAAAACGCGTAATTATGATCATTAATCGTAATTACCGCGTGTAACACGTGGTTCCGCCGTACCGATGATGTGTCCTCTTTTCTTTCTTTCCTTTTTTTCGTTTAGTTTGCGCTGGGCGACGCACAGATGCCGGTTTCGGGCTTGTG